CCGAACTTCTTCAGAAAGCTAAACGCTCAGACATAGTACTCGTAGCAGGTGATTTTAATGCTCAGATAGGAAGCTTAAACCAAACAGAAAGGCATTTAGGTGGATATTTTAGTATTCCGACCCAGCGAACAGATAATGGTGATCGCCTGCTGCAGCTATGCTCAGACAATCGTTTATTTTTAGCAAATACAAATTTTAAGCATAAGGAGAGACATCGTCTAACATGGCGACCCCCTACACCAAACCAACGATGGACTCAAATAGACCATATTGCCATCAGTCATCGTTGGAGAGGGTCGGTAGAAGATTGTCGCTCATTCTGGAGTACCTGCTTGGACTCCGACCACGCCCTAATACGGGCACGCATCTGCTTGCGCCTCACTGGACGCAAAAAAGCCACAGTAAAAAGACCCATTAGGACCGAACTGAGTAGCGAGGAAACCAAAAGTAGGTTCCAGGAACAACTGAGGTCACGATTAGGTAGTTGTGAAGACGAGGCTGACCCAGATGTTGCTTGGAAGGGCATACAATCAGCTGTGGAAACAGCAGTGACATCTATTAGTGACTTAAACCACAGAGTTGCAAGGAACCAGTGGATTTCTTCAAGGTCTGTCACACTGATGGATTCTCGCAAACTCATCCCATCAGGTTCTGAACATGATGAAGAGCGAAAACAAATCAGATCTAGGTTAAGAAAAAGTCTAAGGAACGACCGTGAGCAGTGGTGGTCAACGAAAGCAAAAGAGATGGAAAAGGCGGCGACTATAGGGAACACAAGACAGCTTTACAGACTAATAAAAGAAACTGGAATTAATAAGTCAAGTGTAAGTGAGATTATTTCGGAAAAAGATGATACTCTCATCTGCTCCCAGTCCAGACGTTTAGAACGATGGGCGGAACATTTTAGAGAACAGTTCAGCTGGCCTTCAGCTACTCTACAACTACCCTCCATTCCCAGACAATGTGAATGGAACATTGAAGTAGGTCCCCCAACTCTTGCTGAAGTTCAAAAGGCTATAGTTAATCTGAAACGAGGAAGGGCAGCTGGTCCAGATGGATTGGCTCCAGAGGTCTTTAAGGATGGTGGTCCAATTTTAGCGATTAGGTTGACTAACATTTTAGCTAAGATCTGGGAATTAGACTTTATCCCATCTGACTGGTCGCAATCACTTATCGTCCCAATATATAAGAAAGGGTCAAAATCATCCTGTGACAACCACAGAGGGATAAGTTTAACAAACATAGTATCTAAAATACTAGCCTCGATAATTATCAGACGCCTAACTAAGACTCGTGAACTACAAACTCGAGAGAACCAAGCTGGCTTCAGACCTGGTCGTGGCTGCATCGACCACATATTCACCATTCGTCAGGTTCTAGAACACAGGCATACCTATCGGCGTCCGACGATGGTGGTCTTTCTTGACTTAAAAGCAGCGTTTGACTCTGTAGACCGCGAGACTCTGTGGCAGTGTCTGTCATTGAAAGGCGTACCTCAGAAGTACATAAACCTTGTGAAGGCTCTTTACTCGAACACTACTAGTCGAGTCAGAGCTTATGGCGAACTGTCATCTACTTTTGCAACTTCAAGTGGTGTCCGTCAAGGCTGTCCACTTTCTCCATTTTTGTTTAACTTCATCATAGACCTATTTATGGAAATAACACTCTCGTCGACTGAATTCTCGGGTATTGATCTCCTTCCAGGAGGTCCACTTATCGACTTAGAATACGCAGATGATATAGTCCTGTTTGGTGAAGACGCTGACAAAATGCAGAGTCTTCTGGTAGCACTGAGCAACAATGCCAGAATGTTTGGGATGCGCTTCTCTCCCTCTAAATGCAAGTTGTTGCTTCAGGACTGGTCTGCGTCAACACCTGAACTAAGGATAGGGAGTGAAGTAGTCGAACGCGTCGACAACTTCACTTATCTTGGAAGTCTGATCAGCCCTAATGGGTTGGTGTCTGACGAAATCTCAGCACGGATTCGAAAAGCTCGATTGGCTTTTGCCAACTTGCGCCACCTATGGCGAAGGCGAGATATCCGTCTATCAATAAAAGGACGAGTATACTGCGCGGCAGTCCGTTCTGTCTTACTTTACGGCAGCGAAACATGGCCTTTAAGAGTAGAAGACACCCGTAAGCTACAAGTATTTGACCACAGATGCCTTAGAAATATTGCTGGCATCTGCTGGGATCACCGGGTAAGTAATAGTGAGGTTAGACGCAGGGTATTAGGGAATGATGGTAAATCAGTTGATGAGGTTATGAATCTTCATCGACTGAGATGGTTGGGCCACGTATTACGTATGCCTGAACACCGATTACCACGACGTGCAATGCTAACCGGTGTAGGGGATAGTTGGAAGAAAGTTAGGGGCGGCCAAACCAAAACGTGGCATCAGTGCTTGAAGTCACTAACTTCTAGTCTTAGCCATGTTGGTAGATGCAGACTACTTGGTTGGGGTCCGCGTGACTATCGTAACCAATGGTTGGAGACTCTTGGTGACATGGCTCAGAATCGATCACAATGGCGTCGGTGTATACACTCTTTGTCTTCCCTTAAACTAAGAGATTAAAATCACTTCATACGAACTAATTCTTCCTTCCTATACTATATCCTTATTGCAACCTTTGACCTAACCACTCCTATGAATCCGGTGTTCATCTTGTTGTGCTAATGAGGTATGGCAACTTGGACCCATGCACATATGTGCCTGGTCCTACGTTGTAGCTGACTGACTGACTGACTCTACAACTACCCTCCATTCCCAGACAATGTGAATGGAACATTGAAGTAGGTCCCCCAACTCTTGCTGAAGTTCAAAAGGCTATAGTTAATCTGAAACGAGGAAGGGCAGCTGGTCCAGATGGATTGGCTCCAGAGGTCTTTAAGGATGGTGGTCCAATTTTAGCGATTAGGTTGACTAATATTTTAGCTAAGATCTGGGAATTAGACTTTATCCCATCTGACTGGTCGCAATCACTCATCGTCCCAATATATAAGAAAGGGTCAAAATCATCCTGTGACAACCACAGAGGGATTAGTTTAACAAACATAGTATCTAAAATACTGGCCTCGATAATTATCAGACGCCTAACTAAGACTCGTGAACTACAAACTCGAGAGAACCAAGCTGGCTTTAGACCTGGTCGTGGCTGCATCGACCACATATTCACCATTCGTCAGGTTCTAGAACACAGGCATACCTATCGGCGTCCGACGATGGTGGTCTTTCTTGACTTAAAAGCAGCGTTTGACTCTGTAGACCGCGAGACTCTGTGGCAGTGTCTGTCATTGAAAGGCGTACCTCAGAAGTACATAAACCTTGTGAAGGCTCTTTACTCGAACACTACTAGTCGAGTCAGGGCTTATGGCGAACTGTCATCTACTTTTGCAACTTCAAGTGGTGTCCGTCAAGGCTGTCCACTTTCTCCATTTTTGTTTAACTTCATCATAGACCTATTTATGGAAATAACACTCTCGTCGACTGAATTCTCGGGTATTGATCTCCTTCCAGGAGGTCCACTTATCGACTTAGAATACGCAGATGATATAGTCCTGTTTGGTGAAGAGGCTGACAAAATGCAGAGTCTTCTGGTAGCACTGAGCAACAATGCCAGAATGTTTGGAATGCGCTTCTCTCCCTCTAAATGCAAGTTGTTGCTTCAGGACTGGTCTGCGTCAACACCTGAACTAAGGATAGGGAGTGAAGTAGTCGAACGCGTCGACAACTTCACTTATCTTGGAAGTCTGATCAGCCCTAATGGGTTGGTGTCTGACGAAATCTCAGCACGGATTCGAAAAGCTCGTTTGGCTTTTGCCAACTTACGTCACCTTTGGCGGAGGCGAGATATCCGTCTATCAATAAAAGGACGAGTATACTGCGCGGCAGTCCGTTCTGTCTTACTTTACGGCAGCGAAACATGGCCTTTAAGAGTAGAAGACACCCGTAAGCTACAAGTATTTGACCACAGATGCCTTAGAAATATTGCTGGCATCTGCTGGGATCACCGGGTAAGTAATAGTGAGGTTAGACGCAGGGTATTAGGGAATGATGGTAAATCAGTTGATGAGGTTATGAATCTTCATCGACTGAGATGGTTGGGCCACGTATTACGTATGCCTGAACACCGATTACCACGACGTGCAATACTAACCGGTGTAGGGGTTGGTTGGAAGAAAGTTAGGGGCGGCCAAACCAAAACGTGGCATCAGTGCTTGAAGTCACTAACTTGTAGTCTGAGCCATGTTGGTAGATGCAGACTACTTGGTTGGGGTCCGCGTGACTATCGTAACCAATGGTTGGAGACTCTTGGTGACATGGCTCAGAATCGATCACAATGGCGTCGGTGTATACACTCCCTGTCTTCCCTTAAACTAAGAGATTAAATCACTTCATATCTTTCTTTCCACGAACTAATTCTTCCTTCCTATACTATATCCTTATTGCAACCTTTGACCTAACCACTCCTATGAATCCAGTGTTCATCTTGTTGTGCTAATGAGGTATGGCAACCTGGACCGATGCACATATGTGCCTGGTCCTACGTTGTAGCTGACTGACTGACTGACTCCTCTTACTATAAGCTTTATTTTGACCTATGATTCATTAATATGCATTTTACTTTTCTTGAGTTATACCCAGTATATTGATTACTACCTTCCTCATTCACAGCCACATCTGGCTAATTCTTGTACAAATGTTGTTTCATATTTCATTGGTACGTTGTGGTCGGTTTGATTGGTATATAAACTCACTATGCTTGAAATATAATGATTCCTATCTCAGAGACTGGGACTTGCATTCTGGACTTAACTGGCTGAGCTAGGCGGAAAGCAGGACCAACTAGAACTCTAGGCTGTTCTCACTTGTTTTACACGTCTTTGGTCCGATCGATAATTCACTGCTCTCTAATCTGCAGTCACAAGTTATAACAGTAGTTTATTTAGTTTTTTTGTATGTATATTTTGATTTTAAACACAATTTTTAATTATACAGGTACAGAAGACAATGCAGTCGATAAAAAGAGTAAGACCATTTTTGGATTAAAATTTCAGATTTCTAATTTCAGAGTACTCTATTAACCGGATTGCCAGTTTCAAAAAATCCTCATATTGTAAATGCCTTGAGAATTTAACAAATCTCCCAATTTTAGATTCTAACATCACTTTACAAGCGTATAATCAAAGTGCTTGCTCTAATGCCTGAAGAATCCAGTTATCGTAGGCACACAAACGAAATAGTACAGTCCAGACTGAACGCTGTACAAAAAGTGATTTATTTAGTTGATGTTAATGCTTTCTGTTCTTAATAAAAGATTTCGGATATTCCCACTCTTGAATCTACCATTGATTGTGGTCAAATTGAAGAAGTTATCGTACAGGTAGGTATCGTTTAATGCTTCATTACTTTCACGATTAGTATTTGTAACGTTTTGTATCTCGACCGTATACGCTTATTGGTGTAGTGATACTAACGAATAATTCAAGTGGCTTCCAGTAACCTCTCAGTTACCCACTATCTCCGAACAACTTTATTAAGAAATTAACACAAGTTCCCAACTCTTAGTTGTGTTGAAAAGGCTGTAGCTAATCTAAAATGAGGTAGACAAGCATCGCATAATGTATTAAATCCTTAAATGTTTGAGGATGATGGTTCATTTTTGGCTGTTACATTGACTGAGATATTAGCTGGAATCGGACGTAAACCCATCTGATTAGAGTCCATCTCTAACCGTTTCAGTTCGCAAGAAAGGAAAATAATTATTGTGTGTCAGGCACAGAGGTATCAGTTTGGCTGAAATAGTGTTTGAAATATTGACCTCAATAACCGTCTGACATTTAACTGGGTTTCGTGAACAGCAAACCCAGGAAAACCTTATTGATTTCAAATGTGGTTGAAAATGTGTAGATCAAATATTTACCCTTTGTTGGGGGCGATAGATCCACAAAACTCATATTTTGTAATTTTATCTTATCGATTAACTTATCGATCAAATGTTTGAATATTTGAATAGCAGTCAATTGATAAACCTATTGATTAAATGCTTAAAAATATCGATTATATATATTTGTATGAATACGCTTGATTTGTGTGCTTGACCTGGCGTTTTCTGGTTGCCTGTAGAATACAATTTCTACGCCTTAACAAGACTTCTTGATCGCGTTAGCTGAGTCGGGGACAACGGACCAGAATAGCCTATCGAGATTCTGAATTCCTTGATCTGATCGATAAGTCACTGCCCTCTAATCAGCGGCCTTTGAGATATAACATCCTTCGCCAGGCAAACCTACCAATGCTGGACTATAATGGTATTTCTTGGCATTAGGGCAGCGTTCGACTCTGTTGATCAAGATTTTCTGTGGTAGGGTCTTTCATTAAAATATATACTAAGGAAGTTCGTAGTATACCCGGTGTGTAATTCTGAGGTTAAGCATATGGTGCTATATAAAGGTAGCCAGTCAGTTAATACTGTAGTAAATCTTCATCAACTGAAGTGTTTGTGATATGTGATACATTCTCCCAACCATTCTCTACCTCGACCTGCACCTCCAGACAGACACCTTGCAAATCAACAAGATCCCTACAACCGATCCACTACCTTCTTATCTCAAGCGTCAACGGCAGCAGAGAGAGCGCTAACCGGCCATCCGCGTAGCTCCATCTAGATTATCGGAGCCACGCTTTCACTGGCAACAATGTCCGCCAGCCTCTAGTCCTTGTCGTCTTTACCAAACCGATCGAGCCTCTCAAAGGCCCACATTAAGCCGGTGGATCGATCCAGTTACTGCAGGTACCTCTCGAGTGCATGTGTTACTATGAGGTTGACTTCACGCGCCTAAGTGGACGGGATAAAACCAACGTAAGCTAAACCTCTCCATCACACTAATCTTGAATGGCTGATGCAGATGGGTAGAAGTCGGATGTGGTTGAGCGCAACCATACATATCGCTATGCCGAGCACCTTATTGGACGCACAACGGTCTCGACTCTACTCCGTACGTATATTCGTGTCACATGGGACGGGTACTCTAACGAAGTCCGTAGCTACTCAATCAAATACCAGACATCCATAACTTAAAACGCCCCATAGGCATCGTAACATATCAATGAACCGATAATGGTCTGTTCTCGTAGCCAAGACGCAGCCTGCTTTCTCACTCCCATTCCTAGCAATACACCCTCAGAACGCCTATCTAGTATGCCACACATCGTTATTACAATGGGTAGGTGACACACCACGCTCGTACTCAGAAGGAAGATCTTACGAAACTTTGCATTCAACTCTCTTGTGTTATACTTTCATGTTTTAACATTCCACGATGTTCTCAGCCGATCATAACTACATACAATGCGACATATATTTCATCTCATTTACACATAGGTTTTCCCATTGCGTATGGGAGGTTCTCGGGTCACCGAAAACGCTGAACGTCTCAACGAATCTTCCAACTTCTCAATCATTCAATTATGCCTAGCGATACACAATCGCTGGGCATCTTTACAGTTTTAGAGGATATGTGTCGAGGATCCTACTTTATTACACCGACCTTTGCACCTCAGATTACCAGGATCTCTACCAATTCTACATCCTCTTACCTTAGTACTTAGGGTATGACCTCTTAGTTGAATAGTTTTCCTATACATCCAGGTAAACATCTACGTGGCCCATAAGGCAATGATGTACTCTGACTTGAGACTTAAAGACGTCTGCCCTTTTGAGTTCCATATAATCGCGTTTTCAACGCTGCAAACATGTCATCTGTGTTTGATACCAACATGTCGCCAAGAGTCACAACACCGATAATTTTTTTTCAATCTGTTTATAGGCCTTTGATTACCAGATATGCCATCTGGTATGCAGTAACTCCCAGCTTCATAAATACAAGTTGAATCGTTAAGAATGTCGGATTGGTACCGTAGTGTATACAGGTTCGACCCCGATTCCGCCATCACTAACTCGAGCATGAAAATAGCTTTTAACTGTATCGTGGGGTAACTTCAGTCACTGTCTCACTCGCTTGTGGACTTAATTATCCACCTTTTCAAGATCTGCTTTACCTGCTAAACCTATTTGTACCATGTAACGTAACTTAAGTATTGCATACTACTTTAGTACCATCATCCGTTGGATCGCCGGCAATGGAGAGTCCGCGATCTCCAATAACATATCCTGTTTCATAATAAGTATTGGTTGGTGCACAATCCTACGGTAGTCAAAACATATACCCAGATACTTGAATTGGTATATATATATATATATATATATATATATATATATATATATATATAATTTCACGTATTGATAGAGATTTCGATAGACAGAATTATCTAATATCCAAATAATCGTGTATCAATAGATTCACAAGCTAATTTGCCCATAACTTTTCTTTTCTACACTCTGTGTTGTTAATTTTTTTCTTGACATGTTAATATAGGCCCAAAGAGAATACGATTTAGCTCGTAATATGCTCAAATGGAAGCCTTGGGAACCGCTCATTGAAGAAGCTCCTCGCGATCAGTGGAAATGGCCACTTTAAATAACCTTATTTAATATATTAGTATACAAAGTACAATGTATTGTAGATATACATTTTATTGTACTACATATTAATTTTTCTTCTTTTCATCTCAGTGGGCAACATTGCTATGTTTTCAGCGATTACGAGTTCACCTAGTCTGCGAACGGAACAAACACTTTTTGACCAAAGACCCAATGAGCTAGCTATTCTGATGCGTCCCAGCCCCGCTAACTAGAGAGAGAAGCCCATGTTCGAGACGGGGAAATATATTCCGCAAGCAGCCAGAAGCACGAGCAATAACAACAGGCACAAGTTAAACATATATATACAGCATAAAATTATCATCAGGAAGCGTTACAAAATAGCATACTAAAAGATATAACGAACCAATAGCGTTTAAGATTCTCCCAAGTGGGAAATATGACACGAAGGTAGAAATGAGCGCTTTTGGCGAGGAAACAAGAAATTCTATTTTTAAAATAAATAAGGTATTTTCCAATTGAGTTCTGGGGATCTAACATCCTCAACACCCCTTTCTAATAACGTTCGTTCCTGGGGTCCACTTGCATCTTGAACATCTGTCGCCGTTGTCGGAGTGACCTCCATCTGGATCGTACGTCGACCTGTCAATGTGCTTCTTCCTGTGTTGGGACTACGAGTGGATTAAAGGTATCCATTAGGATGTCCAGCGGGAGACTTCCTTCTGTCGATGGGCGAACTGGAGCTAGCCGCTTACGTAGCTGGTCCCGATATCGAGTTCATCTGTCTCTCCCCAACTCTACCTCGTACATGGCTTAGTTTTCCGACCACATGTGCTTCTGTCCAGGGACCATGATTCGGTATATAGTCCCTAGCGAACACCGGACATCCAATTTCGTACGTTGGCAGCTTCTGGGACTTGGTCTGTGATGGCGATGCTTTGGTTCTCGGAAGCATCAGATTGTGGATCGTCCACAATTTTTTTTCCCATGAGGATCTCTGCCGGAGACTTCCGCTCTGGTAACATATCACTAGATGTTGTTCGGTAGACGAATAAGAAGTTCTGGAGTATTTCCACTGGCATCCCCTCCCCTTTCGACTTGATTAGAGCTTTCTTGAATGTATCCACTAATCTTCCTGCTTGGCCGTTTGACTGTGGGTGGTAAGGTGGAGAGCGGAGATGCTTAGTGGATAGCCGTTGGTAAAAATGTTGGAACTGAGTTGAGGTGAACTGCGAACCATTGTCTGGTACAATTACATCCGGTAATCCGTTGCGTCAGAACATTCCGTCAAGAGTTGTATCGTTTCGGTAGTCGTTGTTGGCTTGGTGGAAACGATTTCTAGCCATTTTGAAAAGGCGTCGACCATGACCAGATAGACGGTTCCATTGATTGGACCGGCGGAACTGACATATATCCTGAACCAGGGATACTCAGGCTGTGGCCACGGGACCGGCGGCTTGCATTTGCCTGGTAAATCCACGTTGTGTTGGTCCATGAGGGGCCAATAAGCATAGCTTTTGGCGATGGATTTCATTCATTTTATAACAGGTTGAACAATGTGGAACTGCTTTAGCACCCTTGATCGTAGAGACTCTGGTACCACCACTCTATCTCCAAACACCAAGCATTCATTCACGACACAATGAGTCCTGATAGTAGTGAAGCTGCTTCATGTCGCCATCCAATCCAGTTGACGGTCAGCCATTGGTGACGTAGTTCATCGTTCTCTTAATGTTGGGGTCATTTCTCGGAGGTGGTTTGTATCTCAGATGCTGAAACTGGCAAGGCACGAACAGCAGTTGTCAGGTAACAATGCGCGTGGTCTTCTGTCATAAGGGAGGCAATAATTGCATTTTCATCGGCTGTAAGGTGTTCGCTGATAAGTCGTGACAAGGCGTCTGTCTGATCAAACCGTTGGGTGAGCCGATACCGAATGTCAAAATCATAACCCAAAAGTATCAAAGACCATCGCTAGAGACGGTTTGTAGAGTGGGCTGGAACACCAGATCTCGAACCGAAAATTGTGGAAAGAGGCTTGTGATCAGTTAGAAGAGTAAATTTTCGACCGTACTGGAATTTGTGGAAACGGCGTACTGCAAACACAAGGGCGAGAGCCTCTTTATCTATCTGGCTGTACTTCCTTTCTTCTGGAGTTAATGTGCGAGATGCATGCATAATAGCTTTCGCTGTCGTGTCCGGTAACTAGTGTGAGATGACAACACCGAGTCCAACAGCTGAAGCATCTGCAGCCACAACGATTGGCATGGATGGATCGTACTGTGTCAATAATAGTTCAGAGCTAATGATTATTTTCAGTTTGCAAAAGACAGCTTCACACTCTTTTTCCCATTTCCAACTAGTATTCCTATTCAAAAGATAATTTAGTGGAGTGCGTACGTCATGCAACGACGGAACGGAAGCTGAGTTGTAGCTGACTAATCCCAGAAATGAGCGGAGATGTTGGTAGGAGTGGGCATCACTCTTATGGCTCGGATATTTTCAGGGTCTGGTCTGTGACCTGCAACATCAAAGATGAATTTCAAATATTTTACTGACTTCAAGGAAAGCTGGTATTTTTCTGAGCGTAACGGTATCCGTTATCGCAGATGCTTTTTAGTACAGCTGTCGTGCGTTCTTGTAGCTGTTCTGACTATGTGGCAACAATTAAGATGTCATCGAGATAAGTTGTCACCCCCGGAATACCAGATAGGATGGTATCCATTAGCTGCTGGAAAATAAATGAAACGGTCTTAACTCCAAACGGTAGGCGATTATACTGAAAGAAGCCACTATGAGCATTAATAGTAAGTAGCTCTTTCGATTCTTCGGCCACTTCCATTTGTAAATTGGTATCAACAAGATCCAGCTTTGCAAAGAACTTTCCGCCATTTAGCATAGTAAACAAGTCTGCAGGGCCTAGCAGTGGGTAATGATGCTGCTTGAGAGCTGCGTTAAGACCTGTGGAAAAATCTGCGCATATTCGGGTTGTGCCATTAGCCTTCTTAATAACTAGGATGGATGCTGCCCAAACATAATATGTAACATGTGTGATAACTCCCTGTAGTTGAAGACGATCAAGTTCTTAATCAACTTTTGATAATGCTGAGTATGGCACTGTGTTTTTTTGGACGGAAAGCAGGTTTAGCTCAAGGTTTCAACCGAAGTGTTGCTTTCATAGCAGAGCACCGAACCAAAAACAGGCTGGGAAATGGTCGAAAACTCCGTCATTAGTTTCTTCGAATATGCTCCAGGTTCATGGGGTTGTTTCACCAAATGGCATACGGTGCTCAACGGAATGTCAGCTAAATGCAGCTGGTCAAATCAATATAAACCAAGTAAATTAAGATCAGCTGGTGCTATGTAACATACCCCGGTGAACGTTGAATCGCGAGAAGACACTCTACAATCTAGATGTCCCAACAAACGTAGGGGATTACCGCATACAGTACGAGGTTTTGTATTGTTGGCAGCGCGTGCGGTCTGCCCATTTTGATCCAAGATTTTCGTGAGAGGATCGGCACGTCAGATGCAGTGTCTATCCGCAATCTAAGCGGATGCTCGTTAATATTAAGGGTAATAAATTTCCTCTAACCTGGGGTTGAGCTCTGATAGGTTGCTACTAGACTCAATAAATTTGTGTTGCAGGATCTAGGAACAGCCTTTCTGGAGATATTCGGCCTTTATTTTGACATGATCCATCTTTATGGATCACGGCTTTACACTTCCTGCAACGATGTTGTTTACAAGAGGAGCTTCAATGGGGATGTTAGATCCCCAGAACTCAATTGGAAAATACCTTATTTATTTTAAAAATAGAATTTCTTGTTTCCTCGCCAAAAGCGCTCATTTCTACCTTCGTGTCATATTTCCCACTTGGGAGAATCTTAAACGCTATTGGTTCGTTATATCTTTTAGTATGCTATTTTGTAACGCTTCCTGATGATAATTTTATGCCCAGGTTATTTCAAACCACATGCAAACCATAAATTTGTTTCCGCCGTACAGTTTCCATCAGAGAGTACTCCCACCCTTTCCTCCTGGGTAAATTCACCAATCAACTTCACTAGCTCATTTGATACATCTCCCACTAAGTCTAGCTATCAAAATACCGAGCTAATGAAGAACATCCAATCCCTCACATCAATCTCATCTCACACCCGCGAGGGTTACGACGACTTTATCCGAGATACCCTCACCCATTTTAACTAAGTAGGCCACTTGCTTAATATATGTCTTATCAACGCTCGATCGATCTGCAACAAAAAGACGGATTTAGCCCTGTTTGTATCCATATATCAACCATCAGTTATTATGATATCTGAAGCATGGACTAACAGTAATATTTCCGACCGAAGCATATCTCTAGATAACTATTCCCTATATAGAAGCGATAGATTGAATGGACGAGGCGGAGGATGCCTTATTTACGCTCACTCTAGCCTAAACTCACTGCTATGTGATATGCCTGAACTAAACAAACTGAAGGATTCGGTGTGGATTGTATTAAAGCCGTCGAATCCCCTTACCTTACTGCTCGGCTGTGTTTATCGTCAACCTAACGCATCAATCGATGAAATAGCAGTATTATCGGAGGTATTCACGCTAACATCATCCCTCCCATTCACAGGCAAGCTCATTTGTGGTGACTTCAATATGCCCGAAATTTCTTGGCTGCCAGTCAAAGCGCCGAGACGTTATGAATCATTTATTGAATGTCTAGAGCCTGGACAATGGACTCAGTATGTCGATAGCCCTACCAGACATCAAAACATCTTAGACTTAGTCTTTACCAGTGGCCTCATCCCCAATACTTTGTATATTGGAAAAAAGTTCCCAGGTAGTGATCATAACATTGACATATGCAGCCTTAATGTAAAAACCACAACCGATAGAAGTAAAACCGTAACACTTCGTAGAAACTATCGCAAGGTTGATTAGAATAACTTCCACAATTACCTAAGAAGCACTGATTGGAGAACTTTCTTTACCTCAAACAATACCGACACATTAACCAATATATTTTATCACAACATCAAA